ACTGCTTGGGGAGTCAATCTGTTTAGTTTTGGTCATTGTCCCGGAAGTAATGGCATTTCTGTAAAGTTTCCATTTAACCTGTCTTAATGATTAATGATACCGATTATCTTTTCATTTGTATATTTTGTACAAATTTGTATCTTTCACATTTGTATCTTTCACATTTGTACATTTTCTTGAGTAATCTTTTCAAATAGTATGACCATTTATTTGAGTTTTTTGCTTGCTTAATAAGTTTTGCAAGGTTTTTTAATCTGAATACAAATCCTTCATTGTATACTTGGTTTTAAGCATTTCTCTCCTAGTCAGGGGCTTACCTTTAATTTTTCCAACCATATATTTGGAAGAGTCAGCACTTTAAACTTTGAGGCAGTTCAATTTATTAATTTCTTCATTTATGGATAAATTTTGGTTTCTGATCTATGAAATTTTCACGAACATTAAGATCACAGGATTTCCTCCTTGTTTTCTGCTAAATGTTTAATGTTTAGATTTATGATTTATTTTAAATGAGTTTTGTGCGAGGTAGTTCAAAATGCTTATTGAAGGGTGAGTGTTTAGCTCAGCTGTGGCTCAGATGCCATGTGAAATGCCCACAACCATATTGGAGTATCTGATTCAGGTCCTGGCTCAACTTACTGTTCAGCTTCTTGCAAATGCACACCCTGGCAAGGCTGCAGATGATGCCTCAATATTTAGATCTCTTCCACCCATGTGGGAGACCTGGATTGGGTTTCTAGATCCTGGCTTCAAGTTCACCCAATTTTGTCTCTTGAAGGCATTTGGGGAGTGAACCCAGAAAATAATGTGAGATGGAAGATCTCTGTTTCTATGTCTTTCAAGTAAAATGAAAATAAAAACATAAAAATTAAAAATAATTTTAAATGCCTATTGAAAAATATAATTAAAAGGTGAATTTATTTTTGTTCAAACATTTTTGAAATTTATGTAGAAATTTATATAGTGCATTTCCATGAATATTTTGAAGTACATATATATATATATATATATATATACTACATGATATGGATCACAGCTTACTTTCGTAAATGTGGATGTCCACTTGTCTCAACACAGTTTGTTATTCAGCTTTCCTGATTTTAATATGCATTTGCATTTCAGCCCAAGATTTGATAGCCTAGATAATTAGTGTGATTTTTATTTCTGCTTATCCCTCCTATAGTTTTTATTCTGCAAAACTACATTTTTGCTGATGACTCAATATAAAAGATATTAAGGACTAACATCTTTGTAGAGAATTTTAACCTTTAGTATTATCAAATGTGCTTTTTTGTCTTTATTTTTCTCAGTTCTGTAACCAACAATTTTTTATTTGCAGTATCCTAAGATAGCTTGCTTATTTAAAAATTTAACATCACTCAATTTTTTTGTTTACAGATACTTTTTTTTTTTTTGGACAGGCAGAGTTAGACAGTGAGAGAGAGAGAGAGACAGAGAGAAAGGTCTTCCTTTTTCCATAGGTTCACCCCCGAAGTGGCCGCTACGGCTGGCGTGCTGCACCGATCTGAAGCCAGGAGCCAGGTACTTACTCCTGGTCTCCCATGCGGGTGCAGGGTCCAAGCACTTGGGCTATCCTCCATTGCCTTCCCGGGCTACAGCACAGAGCTGGACTGGAAGAGGAGCAACTGGGACAGAATCTGGCACCCCAACCGGGACTAGAACCCAGGGTGCTGGTGCCACAGGCAGAGGATTAGCCAAGTGAGCTGCGGCGCTGGCCTGTTTATGGATTCTTTTTAAAAAGTAGGTAGTGAAGAGCTTGAAGAAGCTAAACAGAAATGATAAGAAGATGAAAATGTCAAAGATCCTGATTTGATCAGTACATGCAATGTACATGTGTTTAAATATCACATTGTAAACAGTAAACATGTATAATTATTATATTGAGCTTTGTAAGTCTCACAAAGGGTAAGTCACTATCACAGTGTCACAAAATAGATGCCAGAATATGGGAATCTACCATATATATGTATATGTGTGTATATCTAATATGTATGATAAACACATACATATACATCATAAAGCATATTCATTTACATTTATTGTTTGTTCAGTAGTATGTTGTTTCATCTTCATTTATTTGTATAGTTCTCAAAATGTGTTGTTGATTTCTATTTTCATTATTTAAAAGATACATGATTTTGATTTTTAAAGAATTTATTGGCCGGCACCGTGGCTCAACAGGCTAGCGGCGCCGGCACACCGGGTTCTAGTCCCGATCGGGGTGCCGGATTCTGTCCTGGTTGCCCCTCTTCCAGGCCAGCTCTCTGCTGTGGCCAGGGAGTGCAGTAGAGGATGGCCCAAGTGCTTGGGCCCTGCACCCCATGGGAGACCAGGAGAAGCACCTGGCTCCTGCCTTCGGATCAGCATGGTGCGCCGGCCACGGCGGCCATTGGAGGGTGAACCAATGGCAAAGGAAGACCTTTCTCTTTGTCTCTCTCTCTCCCTATCCACTCTGCCTGTCAAAAAAAAAAAAAAAAAAAAAAAAAAAAAAGAATTTGTTGCGTTTTTTGTGGCTTAATATATAGTTGACTACATAATTTCATGTACTGATGAAAGTGCATTCTGCAGCTGTTGGATGAGATGTTCTGTATACGTCCTTCAGGTTCTTTGGGTCTGTATATAGTATAGTTTAACTCGAATATTTCTGTGATCTTCTGTCTGACTGATCTGTCCATTGATGAAAGTGGATGATGAGTAAAGCCACCGCCTGCAGTGCCAGCATCCTATATGGGTCCTGGTTCATGTCCCAGCTGTTCTACTTCCAATCCAGCTCTCTGCTGTGGCTTGGGAAGGCAGTGGAGGATGGCCCAAGTCCTTGGACCCCTGCACCCATGTGGGAGACCCAGAAGAAGCTCCTGGTTCCTGGCTCAGATTGGCACAGCTCCACCTGTTGCAGCCAACTGGGGAGTAAACCAGAGGATGGGAGACCTCTCTCTCTCTTTCTCTCTCTCTCTCTCTCTCTCTCTGTAACTCTGACTTTCAAATAAATAAATGAATCTTAAAAAAAAAAAGGATGATGAAATCCCCATTATTACTGTTTTTGAGCCTTTAGGTCTCATGATTGTTTTATGTAATTGGGCACCCCACCATTAAGTGCATAAGCATCTCCAGTCACACCTTCTTCTTGAATTGATTCTTGGGTACTATTTAGTGGCATTCTTATTCACCTTTTACCCTTTTTGTCCAAATGTCTGTTTGTCTGGTATGAACGTGACTCCTCATGCTTGCTTTTGGTTTTCACCTGCACAGAGCATCTTTTTCCATCCTGTCACTTTTTCTCCATGTATGTCTTTACTGGTGAAGTGATTTGCTTATAGGCAGAACACTGTAAGGTCTTGATTTTTTTATCCAATTTATATCTTTTCATTAGGGGAAATAAGTCCATTTACATTGAAAGTTAGTCTTGATGAGTAAACACTTTTGTATTTTGTTAACTTTCTTCTGTGTGCTTTGAATACCCGTTTTCTTTTTCTTATTGTTCATCTTTGTGGTTTGATGGTTTGCTTTATTGATAAGATTTGATTGTTTTCTATTTTTCCATTTTTTAGAAAAAAAGATAATTTATTTAGGCAGAGTTATAGAGAGCCAGAGGCAGAGAGGGGTCTTCCATCCACTGGTTCACTCCCCAAATGGCCACAATGGCCAGAGCTTTCAGTCCCCAAATGGCTACAATGGCTAGAGCTGAGCCGATCCAGAGCCAGGAGCCAGGAGCTTCTTCCAAGTCTCCCACTCAGGTGCAGAGGTCCAAGGACTTGGGCCATCTTCTACTGCTGGGACTCGAACCGGCACCCGTATGGGATGCTGGCACAGCAGGCGGCGCCTTTATCTTTTAGGCCACTGCAATGGCCCTATGCTTTTCAGCTTTATACCTTCAGGTTTTCTTGGTGGTCATTATTTTTCTTTTGCTTGTAGATACAAACTTTCTTTAAGCACCTTTTGTAAGGCTGTTCTGGTAGTGATTAATTCCCTCAGTTTTTGTTTGTCCTGAAAAGTTTCTATTTCACTTTTATTTCTGAAGAATAGCTTTGCTGGAGGATTCTTTGCTGAATTTTTTTTCCCCTTCAGAAATTGGAAAACATCCTTCCATTACCTTCTGGACTATAAGGCTGCTCCTGAGAAATCTGTTGTTAGCCTGGTAAAGGTTCACTTAAACATGACTTGTCACTTTTCTCTTGTAGTGTTTAGAATTCTCTCCTTATAATTTTGACAGGTTGTCTACAATATATCACATTGAAAATTTTTTCCATTATTGTCTATTTTGAGGTCCTTTGGAGCTTCTGTATCTAGATGTCAATATCTTTCTCCAAATTTGGAATGTTTTCTTCTGTTATTTAATTGAGAGTGCTTTTATGGTTTTTTCCTTCTATGTGTTTTCTGGAACCCCTGGAATGAGCTAATTTGTTCACTGACTGGTATAAATATCAGAGACTACCTTCATTCCTTTTCTGTTTGTTTATTTGACTAGGATATTTCAAAAGACCCTTCTTCAATCTGTTGAGGTTTTCAACTTTGTATTTTATTTGACTTACTGAGTACCTCATATCCAACGTTTCCATTTGATTTTTTTTTCTGATTTCTCTCACTTTGCTGAATTTCTTACTCATGTAGTGACTTGGTTTCCTAATTTACTTGAATTATCTTTTTGTATGGTCTTGAGTTTCATTATTTTACCTTATAATCATTCTTGTGAATTTGTCATATCAAGTTGTTAATATTTTCCCTTGGGATCTGCTGTTTGCTTTGTAGTCTCCATGTTACTTTGTATCTCATACTTGCAGATCCCTACATTGAGATGTGCACATCTGGTGGATTAGTGTCTCTAACACATTCTTTTTTTTAATTTATTTATTTGAAAGGCAGAGTTACACGGGCGGGGGGGGGGGGGGGGTCTTCCATCTGCTGGTTCGCTCCCCAAGTGGCAGCAAAGGCTGGAACTGGGCCAATACAAAGCCAGGAGCCAGGAGCTTCTTCTGGATCTCCCATGCTGGTGTAGGGGCTCAAGGACTTGGGTCATCTTCCATTGCTTTCCCAGGCCATAGCAGAGAGCTGGATCAGAAGTGGTGCAGCCGACTGAAAGGTGACAAAGAAGCTGAAGATGGGTGGTGGAGAGAGGTATAACATTCCAGCCCCTCAGTCTAGAAATAGTAAGAACCAACAGCGGCTTAACAGACAGAAGACCAAGGATCAGAATTCCCAGATGAAGATTGTTCATAAGAAAAAAGAAAGAGGATATGGTTACAACTCGTCAGCAGCCACATGGCAGGCCATGCAAAACGGAGGGAAGAACAAAAACTTCCCAAATAATCAAAACTGGAACGCGAACTTGTCAAGTCCTAGCTTACTTTTTAAGCCACAAGCCAATCAGAACTATGCTGGAGCCAAATTCAGTGAGCCGCCATCACCGAGTGTTCTTCCCAAACCACCTAGCCACTGGGTTCCTGTTTCCTTTAATCCTTCAGATAAAGAAATAATGACCTTTCAACTTAAAACCTTACTTAAAGTACAGGTATAAAACTGCTAAGTGCTAATGTTTAAATTGGCCTGAAACAAATTTGACTAGGGAGTTTGTGTAAAACTGATTAGTATAAGCATATATCTCATTTGTTTTGTGTGCACTGTGATATAATGGTAGTATCAGTGCAACTTAAGGTAACTAAATAATTGTACTTCCTACTAAGTGTCCTCAATTGAGTAACTTTGAGGTGAAACCATTAAAGTTTGGATTCTCATTCATTTAGATTTAGGGGAGGGCAAAAGAAATAAGTTTTCTATTGTCTGTTGGGGGAAAGTAGTTACCATTATCATTCATGGATCAGTAGTGAGCTGCTTAAGGTCAGTGAATCAAATTAATCACCTAACACAAGGATCAAAAACTAGTTGAACCTTTGAAAGTTTATGTTCTAGAAACAAACTAGTAATGTCAATAACCCAAAGCACTGCCAAAAGAAAATGTGAATTTTCCTTAATAAGTTACAGTTCAGTGGATTATGCAGTGGTGAATGGGAAGGGCACAAGTTTACCCATCAGCCTTCTTTAACTGCAGTTCAATAGGTGTCTGCCAATGAATGCATCCAAACCATTTTTTATAGGAACAGTATTTGATGGTCATTCAATAGCTTTCAAATACATATTTTGTATTATAGCACTGCACAAGCTATTCTGTCAGTGATCTTAACATCCCTGCAAAGCTTGCTTAAAGTGGGGAACTGTATAATGTGAAACTTGTCTAGGGAAGAAAGAGCCATGTAAATACATGTAATCTTGTAGCATATGTAAAGTTTTCTTGGCTTTTATCTTACAAAGAGTATTTTGGTATGAACTTGCTGAATGTAAGACCATGGATTGTTTTTTATACTATGGCCTAATTTTAAAGGTCTGAAATGTTTTTAGTTTGCCCCTGTGCTGAAGTGCCAGTGTATGTAATGACTGATTTGGATGTAAACTATATTTCAGAGGAAATCCTAGTTTGTAATGAGTTTTATAATATAACTGAAAAAGCTTTAAGCTGCTAAAACACTTCCTATTTTTGAGAGATGTGAAATGCAGTACAGGAACACCCTCTCCCCCATCTCCAATCAAGCCCCAAGTTGAGCTGTTGTAGAGTTCCTCCAGTCTTAAAGGTTCCTTTGGGTTTTCACAAATTCTTAGGTTCTATGATTCAAAAACACTTGAAATGTGTAGTACCAGTGGAGTTTTGTGGAATAAGTAATCCAGGGGACAACCTATTATATAAAAGCATTTCTTGCATATAATACCTAGGTACATTTTGAAAGGTAAATTCAAAATAAAACTTAAAAATTAAGCCAGTTACACTGTTGATCAAGAATTAATGCCCTATTTTTTCACCTAACTTCATGTTCATAAGAGTGATCAAGTTTTATTTCCTCAAATATGTCAGATAAATTAATGTCCAACTCAAATATTCGAATAGCCTAAAGACAAGTTTATATAGTACTTCATGTACATAATATGAATTTGAAGCATGAAATTAAAAAATAAACTTTTTCCTCCCCCCCCCCAAAAAAAAAAGAAGTGGTGCAGCCAAGACTTGAACCGGTACCCATATGGAATGCCAACACTGTGGACAGAGGCTTCATGCACTGCACCTCAGTGTCATCCCTCTACGATTTTTATAAGGTAACTTTTATAGTAAATAACTTTATCTTGAAGACATGTCATGGAGTGTAAGTTTGGTTAAGTTGTACTGTCTTTGGTTTGCTGCAGTGTAGTCTCCCTATGTCTTTTCTGACCTTAATCAGTAGCTTTGTGCATGTTGTGTGGGGAAGCAGAGTTAGAGAGACCTCTGCCTCTGTGAGTCTCTTGAGAGAGGAGCACTTTAAAGAAAATACTTGAAAACTACACGTAGATAGTCTTATTTTGTTAACATTCGCATTTTGTATAACATGCTAAGGGGAAGACAAATTAAAGAGTGCTTTCACCAGAGAACTTATTTAAAAACATAATAAATCGACATGTTAGAATTTGACTCATAGAATGGCAGATGTCCTAAATAGCACTCTGGCCTCAGAATCAGCCCTTAGGGCATTCGGATATGGCTGAAGAGACCATGAGAGTATTTTAGGCATGAAAAGCCAAGACACTCTAGGGGAAAAAAAAAAAGAAGAAGACCTAAATGAAAGATCTCTGCGAGTGAGATCCCAGTAGAAAGAACGGGGCCATCAAAGAAGGAGGTACCTTTCTCTGAAGGGAGGAGAGAACTTCCATTTTGACTATGACCCTGTCGGAATAAGATCGAAGTCGGTGAACCCAAAAGGCTTCCATAGCCTTGGCAACTCATGACTAGAGCCTAGGGAGATTATTGACGCCATAAACAAGAGTGTCAAATTGTTAAGTCAACAACAGAAGTCACTGTGTATTTGCTTCTCATGTGGGATCTGTCCTTAATGTGTTGTCCAATGTGAAGTAATGCTATAACTAGTACTGAAACAGTATTTTTACACTTTGTGTTTCTGTGTGGGTGCAAACTGATGAAATCTTTACTTAATATATACTGAATCAATCTTCTGTATATAAAGATAATTGAAAATGAATCTTGATGTGAATGGAGTGGGAGAGGGAGCAGGAGATGGGAGGGGTGCGAGTGGGAGTGAAATTATGGGGGGGGGAGCCAATGTAATCCATAAACTGTACTTTGGAAATTTATATTTACTAAATAAAAAAAGGAAAAAAAAAACACAAATTAAAAAAGTAAAAAAAAAAAAAAGAATTTGACAAAACCAGGCCCAATGTTGTGGTGGGTTAGGTAACTGCCTGTGATGCTGGCATCCATGTCGGAGCTCTATTTCAAGTCCTGGCCGCTCTGCTTCTGATCCAGCTCCCTGCTAATGCACCTGGGAAATCAGTGGAGTATTACCAATGTGTTCGGGCCTCTTCCGTATATGTGGAAGACCCACGTGGAGTTCCAGACTCCTAGTTTGGCCTGGCCTGGCACTGGCTGTTGTGGCCATTTGGGGAGGGAACCAGGAGATGGAAAATCTCTCTTTTTCTCTCTTTCCACACTCATCTGTCATTTTGCCTTTTAAATAGATAAATCTTTGTAAAAACTGACAAATCCACTGAATTTGTACAATGCAAGTATTTTTCAATTCTGAGGGTTTGTATTAAGTGGAAAACACAAATGGCAGCAGAAGATGAGTCCTGTGGTTGCAGTTTTAGAAAAGATTATGTGTGTGCAGAGGTCTATGTGTTCCTTTATACTTCCCTTACAGAAACACATCTGGAGAGTATGCACCATTCTGTTGACAGCAGGTCAGATTGTCTCAGGGGTAGGAGTCAGACCATTGAGAGATACAGATTAATTTCCATTTATAAATGTGCTTTTGTGTATTTGTAATTGTATATATAGAAAAACTCTCTTGATAAAATATCTGGGACAAAATTATTGAGAACTGATTGACAAAAGTAAGATACTCATATATTCCTTAATTTGGGGAAACACTAATTATACTCAATTTCCTGTGGCAAACAAAATTGGATTTGAAAATAATTGATTACACGTGTGTATGTGTTTCCTGCTCTACCACCTCAAATACATAGTTGCAGCCTTGTTGTCAGTTTGGGCCATGCCTGGAATTCCAAGCTCTGGTTTAGAAGTCCCCTAAAATGTAAATTTGTTAGAACACAGAAAACCGATGGAACAGAGTGATTGCTGCAGAAAGCTCTGATCCCATTAAGTCAAGGTCCCAATCTCCATTCCTGCCTTCCCTGGCTCCATCCCCTGGTCTACTCTCAGAGTTACAGTCTTGGCTAAGGCTGCCATAAAATATCAAAACTGTCTTTCTTTTTTTGACTTTTAAACTTTTACTTATTTGTTTGAAAGTCGGTGGTGGGGGAGACGGATAGACAGTCAGAAATCTTCAATCTGCTCATTCACTCCCCTTAATGCCTGGAAACAGCCAGGGCTGGTCCCGCTCAAAGCCAGGAGCCTGAAACTCAAGCCAGGTCTCCCACATAAGTGGCAAGACTCAACTACTCAAGCACATTAGCAGGAAAGTGGAATCAGGAGCAAAACTGGTACTTGAAATCTGGTACTCTGATACGTGATGCAGAAATCCCAAGTGGTGTCTTGGTCTCATGCCCACCCAAATTTTTTGTCTTATTTTTTAAAAACTTATGAGAGGGAGAGGGTGAGATAGCACTCATCAGCTGATTCACTCCTCAATCGCCACAACAGCCAGGTTAGGGAAGGCTGAAGCTGGGAATTTGGAATGCAATCTATATGTCCATATAGATAGGAACTCAATTACTTGGTCTATCACCCCTGCTTCCCTAAGTCTGTATTAGCAGGAAGCTGGAGTCAGAAATTGAAGCCAGGTATTGGACCCAGGTATTTGAATGTGGTGCAAGGACACCTTAACTGTTAGGCCAAATGCCCACCCCATGTTGGACTACATTCTGGAAGAAATTAGAAATATTACAAAGTGATTTGCTTACTATGATACCAATTCTGTTTGGAAAATCTACATGTATATTAAGCAGTTCTCTCTGCTGTTGATCTCATATCTACAACTCAGTCACTGATTTGTCTCTTCCCTCATCAGTGCAGTTTGAGGTGTTCAAATTGTATGGAGGTTCCTTTCAGAGACCAGGGCAATCACCTGTTATTACCTTAGGCCTGGATGGGCTTCTCAGATCTAACCCCACCCTCTCTGTTATTCTTTATTGTGTTTACTTTTTTATTCTGTTTGTTTTACTTTTTGTGGTTTGTTTTTGCTTTGTCTTTTGTTCAGTCATCCTCTCTTTAGAGTTCTGTGGACACAGCTGCCCAAATCCCACATCAGCACTCCCATCCTCTCTCTTGCCCCCTGCCTTCCCTGTTCTACCTGTCCACCAGTGACTGCCAATGGCACTAAGACTACCTGGAGTTTTGTTGTGTGGATGTTCCAAAGCACATGTTTTCATCATCTTTTGAACTTTTTTTTTCCTCCTCAGAATTAGAATCATTCAGTACATAAGTTCACAAATTGAGTTTTAAGTGAAGCTGTGTACCTTTTCCTCCTTGCACTCACCCCCACTCCATTAGTAGTGATGGTACGTTGGTGCCACCTCTGACAGAAACCAGGACTGTGTCTTGCTCATCACAGAGCAGGAAGGTGGGAGGGAGTGGCTGTGGTCCACTCCTCAGTCTGGGTGGAAAGGGGATCATTCTCTGGGCAAGGATAGGGATAGACTCCAGACAGCAAGGACAGCCTGTCCCTGTGCTGAAGTGAGTGCCCTCCATGAAAGGAAGAAAAAGCTCATTTTTCTTTTATGCTCTGAGAACTGGATACGTAACTACAGAAAAAAAAAAAGTAAGGAAAAATTCATCATGTTTGATATTCTAATTTTATAATTTATTTTTCATTTGTTAGCTGTACTTCTTCTATAAAATAAACTTCCCCTCATCAACCTTTTCATACTATGTTATGCAGAGGAAGGTTAGGATGGATTCTCTTTCCAGTTTTCAGAATGATGAGCTGTTCCCCTAGGATCCTCCAAAGGAGAGCAGTGAATTAATTTTACCTTATATTTTTTTTTCCTAATGTCTTCTTTAGTTCTAGGTATTTCTATACCTGTTCTGTTTCAATCTAGTGTGGCTATGTTATCTGCCATTTCAATTGTTCTGACTTTGTGTATTGGGAGCCCTTTTACCTTGGCTTTGGGTATTTTGGAATGCTTTCTGGTGTAATACTTTGGTCCATAACCATTTGGTGAAATTTCTACCCCATACCTGGAATCAACCATTCCTCTGAGAGAGGCTGGTTCCTTTTA